CTGGGGATAAAATGTCAGCGAATCTAGTTGGCACGTATCAGATGCAAACGGTTTACACAATTATATGTCTTGTCTAATATTGTGCAAAGAGAGAGAGTATAATAGCGGAAACTGTAGGCCTCTGTATCTATCTATCAATCTATCTATCTATCTATCTATCTATCTATCTATCTCTCTCTCTCTCTCTCTCTCTCTCTCTCTCTCTATCTATCTATCTATCTATATATATATATATATATATATATATATATATCTTTCTTTCTCTCTATATTTATATATAGTATAATATAATATATATATATATATATTATTTATATAAATATTATTATATATACATGTTTTATATATATATATATATATATATATATATATATATATATATATATATATATAATATATATATATCTCAGACACTAACACTCTGAATAGTCAAACAGACACCCTAATCACTAACAACTCCCTACCCTCTTTTCACTCGCCTTTCTCCAGACTACCTCTATAGCTCCAAGTTGACCTCGACGGACTCTTGATGTGTCTTATCTCCTCAAGCCCCTAGTCACCGTGACCCAGTTCTGGACGCCCTTTCTTTTTGGCGAGAACAATCGATGTCCCCGGCGATAGTCTTCTGCTCTAGAGGTCTTTCGCCTGCTGGAATGAGTGTTTACAGAATCCGGCCTCCAGCCGAGCAAAGCCCCATTAGACTACAGGAACAACTGTTAGGGTGAGGGGTAAAAAAATACAAGATTAGCCGAAAATAGTTCCAGGCGTTCTCACGTTGGCACGTTTAAAGGGCAAGAGTTGAAGTGGTCTAGTCTAATCATGTCAAAACTGAACAAAGGATCATAACGACGGGTGTGTTGAAAAAGGAAAAAAGATAGATGGGGGTTGTGGGGAGAGGGAGGGGGTCGGAGGGAAGAAGAATGCCAAAGTTTTGAACCTGTGAAGGGATGGGGAAACCAACTGATATTATTTTAATGTCAAACGAAGAGGTTACTTGGCAATAAATAAAGTCAATAAAGCTTGTACTCCTAGATAGATAGATAGATAAATAGATAGAGATTAGATAGAAAGATGTGGAATGAGCCACAAGTGAGCAACAAATGTAATTTTTCCATCTCGATTTTGTGAACAGCATTATCAGTACTTCTTTTCTGTATTGTGTCTGGCTGTTACAAGTTTGGTCTGTACAGTTAATTGAAATAAGTTTTCATCAAAGGGATATGTTCTTTCACCGACTTGTTGAGGGCTACAACATTGCACACAGGGACTGTTCTTGAAAGATTACACCTATGAAATAACCCCCCCCCCCCCCTTTCCCTCTCACTCTTGCCTCTAACCGAAAGAAATTGACTTCGTTGATAATCCAGGCACCAGGATGAATATGAGGGTATAACGGTAATATTGAGTAGACACTGGAAAGTGTCACTATTTTATATTGTATTTGGAGATGTTTTACGCCCCAATCAACACAATTTAGGTCAAATAAGAGCAAGTTGCCCTGATCTTGAGTGTCCGGGCGTCCTGGAATGAGATGGACACAATGTCCCAACAGACCAACACTTGTGGTAATTTGTTAAACAAGAAGCGATTGCACCAGATCTAATGGAAAAGCCATGTCCAATAGGACCGAAATAATGTGTGGAAAGCCTTAAAACTCCCCAAAACAACCCAAATTCAAGTACCTCTCTCTTTGGAACCTCCTGGGCCATCCGGTTAGAGCTCAGCTTAATTTTATCTCAATCAACGGTGCAAAAGTAGAAGTCATTTCTAACATGCTCAAAGGAGTTGGAGTCTGAGTTTGGAGCTATGATTCAACACCCCTTAAAATATTGTTGTAATAGCAAGAACATTGCTGTCCCATCGGTATACTATTTGATCATTAAGAGGCGGGCTGCTTCAACTCTCCATAAACCGGGCAAATTAGGAAACAGCATTACACCAGACAGATTGTTGGAGGAAAGAAGAATACAAAAAGGAAGGAAGAAAGATAAGAAACAGAAGACTGGTACCGTAAATTGCAAAGTTCAATGTTTTGAGAAATGTACCTCACCTATTCAATATTTAGAGTGTTAACGTGGCCGATTTCGATACTACGTTACTGCGATAAACGATGCTCATTTCTTTCTGCAAATCTCAGTACAAGCGTCCTTACGTGAATCTCTCTCTCTCTCTCTCTCTCTCTCTCTCTCTCTCTCTCTCTCTCTT